TGACATAAGTTTAGGATTTTTGCATTCAAAAATTGTAAATCCAATTCTAGCATAATCAGAACTAACCATCAAGGAAATTACTCGCATCCAAAAGGAAACGCGACGAAGACGAAAATAACAGAATTAGCTGAAAATAACGAAAAAAACATCGGAAGACACCCCAGGGATCCGAAGCACCCGCGAAACTTGGAAACAGCGCCAGCGAAACTTGGAAACAGCGAGAGCAACGATCGCGCGGTGGGGAAAGCGGGACCGCGACTGACAGAAGCCTCCGCGGGACGATTCCTTTATCCCGTCTGCGGAGGCATTCCCCGAGCGCGCGATTCTGAGCGGAGAGCAAGCGATTCTCGACCTTCTTGCTCGAGGGGGCCAGTTTCTCGAAATTTCTCGAATCTTTTCTTTTTCTTAAAACGTGCTGAAACAGGGCAAAAGTTTCGGCATGGAAAAAGACGGCGAAAGCCTCTGAAACTTTTTTTTTTTTCTAAAAATGATTATCAGCTTGACCTGCATATTCTTATCATTCTAAACGGTACGCAAATATTTTGTTTCTCGGAGCATTTGTTCCCCAGCGAGTGCTGGCATTCAATGAGGTACCTTCAGCGGTCAAGCAATTGGCTCTTCGACCAATTGGCTCTTCGACCAATTGGCTCTTCAACCAATATTGCCCTGAACATTGAAATTTTTTTTTTTTTTACATTTTCTGTACATTGAGATTCTGGTGCCATCTGTTCCGTGTTGGGCGACGGACTAAGTATTTCCCAGTCATAACCAAGTGCACAGGGTGAAAACCGGAAGATTGAGGAAAATTTCAATTCCCCCAAGTCATCGGGGCAACTGACGCTAATCCATATCCCATATCCAATCTTTGTCGATAGGAAAATGAAGATCTATGGCCATCCAGGCTGATCCCATGACATTTTTGAGAGGGGCCTCAAGGGGTCTCGAGGGGCCTCAGGCTTAGTCTGAGCTATTGGTCAGAAACGGCATCGATGTGCCGAATGAAAGGACTCAATCCCCCTTCAGAGGCAGAACGGACTTTAGAAAAAGTTTAGATTTAGATGTTTCAAGAAACTGGCCCCCCTCGCAAGGGGAAACAAATATTTCCAGCTGTGTTAATCGAAGAATTAATTATCAAATATTACTTTGAGAACTCTGCAAACTGTTTTTTTTTTTTTTTTACTTGTAGAGCGGTGGCTGCCCCTTCCGTGACCATTAAGAAGAAACTGGAAGCTTTTATGGACAGGCTAGGGGGGCAGTGTTGACTTGAGGGACTTGGCAATGAGTTACTGGTTAAAAAAATATATCACAAAACTCACAGAAATATTTAGCCTTGAGAGGAATAGGCCACAGACACTTGGTATCCCTATGGGTGTTATCGCCTCTTGATACCACTAACAACCATGAGACTCCCCCACGTGTTCCAGTCGGAAGCGCAGGATACCACGAGGGCCCCCCCCCCCCCCCCCCCCAAAGGGAACTCTTTCTGATGTGACATAGGGTGGCATCGATTATTCTGTATTAAGCCATTAAATTCATTCAAACGGTTGTGCCATGAAGTTTCATACTCTTCGTTCGCTTAGGGAATTGGCGATTGGGTTTTGCAAGGTGCTTCACTGGCGAACATTCCTTTAAAAAAATCCAAACAGGCAGTAACGTCTTGAAAGTCCTTCATTTTCAGTCAAAACTCAGAAAACAATTCAAACAACTCAATGAAAACCATGGCAGCAGGAATAAAAGGGTGATTTCGACATTTTTCCCCTGAATTTCTTCTCTCTGCCTCTTGATGAAAGTATCACAGATGTCCAACCGGAACATCACAAGCCTTTTGTGCTGCCCCTCACGAACAAAAAGGTCGAGCGCGACCGCTCGTGTGCCACTAAGTGAAGGCCGCTCCTACCGTGACCCGGGTGCGCGCCGCTCGGATCAGCGGAGATGTTGCGCGGGTGCGTTCGAACCAAACCGACAAAGGCGAAAAAAATACTGAACGATCAGAGATGGGGGTCGAAGGACGAACGAGAAAATGCATCACTGTCGCTTGTGCTACATGTGCACACAATCAAGATAACAGTCAATTCAATCTGCATCAGAAGAAGTAATGATTAAATAGGACTTTTTTTTACCTCAAATCTCAAAAAATAAAACTTAAAAAATTCTCTAATTAAAAATATTCAAAGATTAAGCATTTTTTGTGATAGATGAAATTCCGATAATCAGAATATTCCAGGCAATGATTGTGAAATCAAAAACCCTCTGAAAGCATGGCAAATGCTTCACAAAAATCACAAGTAATCCAAAAACAAACAATGAACATCTCAAAATGCAATTTAAAATAAATCTTTTCAAGGGTCAAGAGTGGTTACTGTCGTGCATTGGTGCTGCAAATGGCTTGAACGTGAATTCTCAACCTGAGAAATGCATCAAATGCAGACAGCCAAAATCTCATCAGACTCGGTTTCATATCACAATACGGAGCCGAAAGGGACTCGACGGAGTCTCCAGGAATGCGATCACAGGTGGAGCGGGGAGGGCGGGGGTTCATCGGAACAGGAGGACGGAATAGATCTCCATCGGGTCGAGGCTGATGGGGGTGGCCTTGTTGAACGGCTCGCCTCGATACATCAGGGAGAGAGAAGCTTCCTGCGCTTCCGACTGGAACACGTGGGGGAACACCTCGTTCAAGTCCACCTGCAACAAGGATGCTTCTGAAGTATGTCTCGATCTAAACTGAATCTACTTATTGAGGATGGAAACCGTTAATACAAATCTTTTCACCAATGATGTCCAAAGAAGACAGCAGAATCATATAGAAGCATTCAAGTCATCAACTGATGCAATGATAATCATACCTGTCCATGTTTGGTCGAGCACTTCACAGGCGGCGATTTGAAGTCGCAGTTGAACCCCAGACGATGGAGGATGATGGCCGAGGCATTGGAGGGTTTCAGCGGCGTCTCGTGAATCATGGTGCGCAGGTTCACCATGTGGATGTCGCACGGCAGAGCATCTTCGTTCTGCATGGGCGCATACGTGACGTGGCGTGGGACCACGGTCGGGGACGTGGGCAACAGGCGGAATATCGGGTAGATGAGGGACTGGCTTGCCAATTGCGCAGAGAGAGATGGGAAGCCCATCACCTGCTCCTCTGAAATCTACAGCAGTTAACATGAAGGAAACTTATTAATTATGATGGCATCTATCATGGAATGAACACAGTCTACAGGAGCTGAATCTTTTCTCGAATTAAACTTGTACTCCCACTTGACACCTCAGTTCACAAAACATAAATTTGAAAAATTCTAAATATGACAGCTCTGAGAGAATTAAATTTTTTATGTAGAAAGTGTATTGCTTTCATTCCTAAAAGCTGTGTTGGCAATTTTAGTTCTTAACATGCATATAATGGGTCTTTAACACTTTTCCAGATTGAATCTATGATAGCATGTAGAGGTGCATATGTAAATGAACAAATATTCAGGTGAAGCGTAAGTGTTCATGCAATCAGGCTTTTAATGGCCGAAACAAAAATGACTGGCCTTCTGACTTCTGAATTAATGAAAACTTCTCCTACATACTGTGGTCTCACAATGGATGAGACTGAGGTGGTTCATGGACTCAGAATTCAAACAAAAGACCACATTCATGTGGATCTCATCCTAGCTAGGAGGGTAATGTCATAATATCATAAGTTTCAAGGACATGAACCTTATGCTAGAGATGAAAAAATAATATCCTCAGGTGGTTCTGTCTATAACAAGTAGGAGACTCCAGAACCAAGACTCACAGGGACTTCACCAGACACACGCTTCTCAAGGAGAAGTGAGAAGGAGAGCCGAGTCGGTCGGTTGTCCTTGACTCCTTGCCCGAGCCCACGGTTGTCGTCTCGACTGAAACGCCGATCCTGCATCACCTCCAGCTGCCCGCTCGCCAGGCTCCCCACTCCTACAACAGGACACGGGGCATCAACAGCCCGAGAGCCGATCGCTGGTTTGCCCGAGCAGAAGACTTTCTGTCGCACCGAGTGGCTGGCGTGTGAGCAGCGTGAGTCGGTAATCAGGGTCCTCGACGAAGGCCATGGTGGGCATCGGATAGAAATTTCCTTGGATGGGGATCTTGTCCAGCAATGTCTCCCGCTTCAGCACCTATTGCATTTCGGCAACAGAGATGGTTGAACCATTCAGAATGGAACCATCCTCAATATCCAAAATACTTCACTCAATGAGATGATTACAGTGGTCTACCTCCCCAGATGTACATATTCAAAGATGGAAAAAGACCCAATTGTAATGAAAATCCAATGGTGAATACCAAACCTGAAATCCATTGAGGTCAGTATAGAATGTATTGCCACTCTTGATGTTGGAAGAGATACGCATTGCCAGCTCATAGTCCATATTTAACTTGATGTCCACCAAATTGTTGATCTCCAGGCCAAGACCATCCAAACCTTTTATAAGAAAATATCCACAATGATTCTTAACACCTCACATGCATTAGTGCCACATTACACCACATTCCCTTGAAAGTGCCAACAGGTGTCAAATTAAATAGCAGATCTGCTAAGAACCTCTTTGCCAAATTATATAGAGTGCCACCAGAAAGTTTGAGGCAGGTGGGAAAATTTTGCAAGTCTTAATAAATAATAATAATAACAAACAAATGAACAGCAAAGAATAAAAACCATAATTAATCATATACATTTTGTTTGAAAATAGTTACATTTTTTTGGTCTTTTTCTTGAAAAAGAATATTATCTTTAAACCTGCCTCAAACTTTCTGGCGGTACTCTATAAAGGGAGAGCACTTTGATATGTCAAGTAGGATTTTAAAATCTTCAAATGGAGGACAACTGAGCTCACCAGGAGAGGTCTTCAGGGTAACAGTATGCTGGAAATCCCTGGCGGTGACAGTGACAGAGGACATGTGGGGACCGCGCACAACCGTGACGGGAGTTCCTTCGTCGATGACCACCGGCCGTGCAGGTCCCTGCGGGAGGAACAGGTACGCCCCGCTGTTCCGGTCCGCCGTTGCGCTCGTTCCGTAATGCACGAACTCGATCTTGACGTCGACGTCCAGTCCCTCCTCCTTCAGGTGGATCTTGGTCAGGAATCCATGGCTGTCGAACGTGGCCTTGATGGCATCGTTCTCCAGCATGAATGGACCTTGCTCCATTTGGTGCACTGAGAACATTCTGAAAAAGCAAAAGAAGTGCCTACACTCCATGACGAAAATTGATGGCCACAGCATCCTAGCAGTAAGACTTAGAACGATGTCAAAACAACAAATTTCCATCAGAATTTTGAAACCTAGGTCTGAGAGTAATGGTGAAGTGAATGAACACCTTTCCTGTAGCTACATTTCTTTGAACTAGGCTTTTAGATATGTTAATTAAACTTTTCATGGGATTGGTAGAGATGAATTGGATTTTAAGGAGTATTTTCTGATTTTAATAGCTCTTCTACAAGCCTTTCCCAACAGGGATGCAGGTAAATATGAAGCACCTTTCATGCCTGTAGGCATAAACAAAGAATTTCTCTAAAATCAGACCTTCACCATGAGGTCCAGTTAAACACTGCCATAGGATTCAGAACTCACAGGAAATGAGAAAGAACAAGGGCACGTACAGCGTGTCGGGGACGGGCTCGTAGTTCATGACGGAAATGGTGGCCATGGCCATGCCATCCTCATTGGCCTCAGGGGAGGTCTTGAAATGATACGTCCCCAGGGAGAGCGGAGGGAGGTCGGCCAGGAACGAGATGGTGAACCCGTCCTCCTTCTCGAACACGGGACTGATCTGGATCTCCACCTCCTCCAGCTCGTCCTCCACTGCTTTGTACACCTGCGGGTTGGGATGGTTGGTCTATTTTGTGCCAGGATGGTCTATTCTGTACCAGGTTGCTACACAAGCAAATTCCTCATGGCCATACTCAATGCATTGCTCCAATATGCTCATTGTATGTGCTGCAGGATTAAAAAAAATAACCTAATTTCTCATTTCTGCCCTGAACCAGGAAAATAAGTTTTGGCTGTGCATGGACATTAGCCAAAAATGGAAGAGGAACTTCTAACAGTTTCTGATGGAAAAGAACTACCAGCACATCTTAGATATAGCATTATAGCAGTGAAAAAAGCAGCATGAGTGGAAAAACAAGCAACCAATTTCAGGGAGATTCTGCAGAGGTCACCAACAACATCGTCAGTCAAAATAGACCAAAGGCAATGCACTTAACCCGTTCAAACAGACGACTCAAGGATCAACGAGAAAGGTGCCCTCACCGATACATCGGGGGTGAGCGTCCTGATGGCCACGATCTCCCGACGCCGGTGGACGAGGGGATTGAAAAGAACGACCGTGGCCCCCAGATCAGGCGTCACTGCTTCCGAGTCCAACACCTTGTATTTTGGCAAGGACACCTCACTCCTCGCCTCGTCCAGCTGCAGCAGTGCCTTTCCATCAAAGTGCTCCCGGTCCTTGCGCAGCAGGTAATCCGAGCAGGAAGCGATTATTCCGCTCAGCCTGAGGACACCATGGAAAGTCATACAATTCATCACACAGCCTCAAATGAATTCAAATTATGAAACAAGATGGCATTTCAGGCTTCAATTTCAAAGGGATTTTTAAAAAAATTACTACTACCTCGTAGAAGCCCTCACGGGAAAAAAAAAGCATATTAATCAGAAATGACCCTTCAACTCGCACTGACCCTAATCCTCGACAGGAAAAAAGCATGGAAGCCCTTCTCACTTGTTGAAGGCTGCAAGAAGCTTCTGAGCATAGTCCATCACCACATGATCCCTACCAGTCCCCGTGATGCCATCGTGATGCTGGAAGAGGGCGATCGAGCGCCTCGCCTCCACCAGTCCCGGAAGGACCTTCTCCATCCAGTCCGGCACCGTGCTCCCCGCGTGGGCCAGCGCGAGGCTGTACAGGATCTCGGCCCCTCGCAGGTGATGCTCCAGCACCCGGTCCAGGTGCTTGTGGAAGGGACGGGACGTGTAGTATCCGCTCCAGTAATGGTCTCCGCGGTCGTTGTAGGTGAAGAAATCCCCCGACAGTGAGGGCAAGTCTTCCTCCTGGATTTCGTCACTCAAGGCCGTGAAATAGTCCTCCAGGGTTCCAAACTGAGCCTAAAGAAGGATAATATATAAAATATGGTTGTTGCTGTTCAAAATAAAAAAAAGAACCACTCATACGTGCACTCTTAAACCACTGCTACGAGTTCTCTAGGCATAACGTATTCCTTATCATATAGCAGCATTAACCTTTGGCGAGACGTGATTTTTCCTCATCGTAATTCCTGTTGGGTGACAGAATAAAAGAAGGAAAAACGGCAGGCCCTTGCTTTCTTTTTTTCCTAATTGCACAATTATAAAAGTTGCCTCATAATGCAGAATGGCAGAATCGAACGAGTGCCAATGGAGCCACACATCCAAAGGGGTTTCATATCAAGCTCTCCATTAGCAGCCTGTTTTATTCTGAGGCAAATATTTCCCAAATTCACAATAAAAGATTTTAGGCCCTGAAATGTGGATCGCCACAAACGTGACGAGGGATAATCTCCCACAAAAAAAAAAAACCTACCCATCTTTCACCACAGCACGATGAGCCATGTGAACCCAGGAGCCCGCCACCAAATAACTGAAATGACCGTCTCCGCCTCATTCCGCGCGAAAAGCCCTGATGGGCATAACTGGCACTTTGGAAAAAGGCTTTTAAAATTCCCCATGAATGCCATCCACAAGAAGTCTCTTTCCAGGAAAAAAAAAAGTTTCCATATTAGTTAAACACAGAGACACAACCTACGAAAACTCTCGGTCAAAATGCTTTCCATGCTAGACCTACAGTTACATGGTTTTCCAGTTCATGCTACATGCTTATTAATATCTTATTATTAATTATTATTATTAATAATTTTCCCAATTTTTACACGAGCATGTACAACATCAGCGTTGGATACTCTGATTTCCGACACATCCCTTAGAGATAATAATAATGCTGGGTGTCCAGTCAGATCCGAAGAAGCCTCTCAGAATTTAGGCCTGCATTCCCCTATCCATTTTCGACTTCTGGTTTCTTTCTTTCGCCCTGTTGCGGTAGACTGAACAAAGATGAAATTCCTACGGTCTGTCGGGAACATGTTGAAACATGCACTCCGCTACAACGCTTAGTGAAGTACAGTTTAAAACTTGCTCATATTTTCTTTCCCGATACCCTATATGTTCTCGGGTGAGAATCTCACGAAAAAAAAAACCACGACCCTAAGGCAACCTTTCCTTACTTGAACATGAAGCTCCGGATGACTCGCGAAGTACTCAAAGATCTTCTGGTAGTTGGAGAACTGAAGATCCCACTCCTGCGGGGTCGCATAGCGGAAGTCATCCCCCAGCTGCACCAGCAGCGTGTTGGTACGGAACAGCTGCGCCTTCTTGCGGTACTGGTCCAGCAGCAGCCCCGCCTTCTCCTTCACGTTGGCCGGCGACACGGCCGTCGGGTTGACCCGCCACGGACAGCCGAAGCGCGTGGCGGTGCGGGCGAAGTCGAACTGGCAGCACACCTTTGGGTCGGGGCCGCATGTGTGCGGGACGTCGTAGCTGTAGAACGGCATCAGGTGGGTCAGGATCCCGTCCTTACCCTCGGAATCTGCAAGGCAAGGTTCACGGTTCACGTGAACGGCAGATGTAACAAAGTCTGCAATTGTTCCCCGAGAATCAGTTCGGTTAGCCATCTGATCAATTCAACGATGACCTCATATTTCGCCTGCCCGTCGAGCCCTTTCAACCGTCAAGACTCACATATCAAAAAAAAATTGTTACTTTTACCCACGGCTTGTCATTTCTGGTTTGGGGCCCTTTCTTATCCGGAACACAATGACAGACACGCTACCGTCGACGCCCACGAAAATCCACACCGCCCCTCTCCCACACTCAAATGCCAAAACCGGAGAACACGAGAGAGAACGAGAGAACGAACCCCAAGCCTGTTGCCAGCGAAACTCCAGCTGCTTCTTCAGCGCCAGCTGCTTCTTGACCGCGTAGTGGACCCGCTGGATGACCATTGCCGTGAAGCCCATCCGCCTCAGCAGGTACGCCATCGTCGGCGACAGGCCGAACGGGTCGATCGCCCATCCGTTCCTGCACGAGGGCGACAAACGACGACTCGGAAATGAAATTCCATCCACGCGGAAATCTCAAATCAATTCGACGGAGTTTTCACTTTTACCAAGATAGCCCACGGGCAGACGAATCGGAATTGTGGTTTTGCGTGCAGGGTTACGAGCGACGGTAACGACGCAGGCGTAACCGGTAATTACACTCCTCCTTTCCGGAGTAATCGACACGGATAAATCGACGAAAAAACCACGCGTCCGTGCATCTCGCCACCGCGAAAGTCTCCGAAAGTCGTACCTCCATAAGTACCACCCCGCGTGCGGCCGCGAGTACCCGTACATGGAGTACCGCCATACCCACCGATCACCCCGGAGGACAATCCATGCAACCCGCCGCCAAGAGCCCAACCCCTCCCTTATTTTCCGCCTTCCGCTTTTTTTCATTCGAACCGGGACTGCCCCCCCCCCCTCGGAATTTCATCTCCTACGTACAAATCCACACGCCAAACACTTCGCAGCACCACCCCACTCATAACGGCTGCGACCTCGCCATCGAACCGTTCCCTCCGTCCCGACGGAAAGGATCCCGTTCCAGCAGCCGCCAAAACACAACCAGCCGTAACATATGGCTCTGCGGTATGTCAGCACATACCTCCCCGTACCCACCACAACCCCTATAAATTTCTATTTTTTTTTAGAGCAATCGAGGAGCTAATGGAGGAAACAGAGCGATGGAATTGCTCTCAAGCGTTACGGCCAAAAACGAAATCCCTGGCTCAAGGAGCGAAGAAAAAAAAAAAGATATAAATAAAATTTATGGACTCAGAGCGAGGAACAAAGGCGAAAGGAGCTTAGTTTCTCAGGGACACCAAAGGTGACTCAATAATTTGAACGAAAATAAAGCTTAGCGGGGGCATTACCGTCTTCGGTGACACTGGACGAATGCGTATGACCTCATGACCCGGAGCGGCGCCATCTCTCGAAATGCGCATGACCTCATGACCCCCGGGGCGAGATATCCTCGGTGCCCCCCCCATCGCTAATGAACCTCGACCCGACGAGAGAGAGTCCAACAATTCTTCCGCATTATTGTTATTATTTGCATCTCGTAGGAATTTCGGGGCCAAGTGAGACATACCGGGACCGTTTTCCAGCACTTTCGCCGCGAACGGCGGAATTAAACATCACTCCGGCGAAAAGTAGTACGAGTACCTCGAAAGGGTTCATGAAGAAAAAAAAAAATCCCCATTTTATTTCGGCATGTCGGTAATAGCGTCAATAACAACGCGGGCGAAGAGGGGGGGTCGTCTCGACTGGAGGGGGGGTCGTCACGGGCTCCGCACGGGGAGAGACTAATCTCTCGTTCCGAAATGTAATTACGGGGGTTCGAGCAGGATCTCGACAAAAAGGCCGTAGCGGTTCTATGGGTGGCGTTCCGCGGTTTTCACAGCGGCGATGGCATCGAAACACGAGATTCTTTATCGGCGGAACCCCAAAGAAACATTTCTATTTCCTGAAACGCCCGACTGTTACGCGGCCTGATGTAGGAAAAGAACCGCCCAATTTTTTTTCTTCTCATTCTCGATTTTGCGAATAATAAAAAATTGAAGTTGAAGGCATGGAGAAAATGGAAAATTTTCCAGAGGAAAAAGGCTCGAAGCTCTCTGAATTCAAGCAAAAAACCTGCAGAAAAGGAAATCCGAAGCCCCGAGGCGGATGATAACCTGAGACACTTCCCAGCACTCGGCATGAATTATGCATCGACTGAAAGAGCAGAGGCGGCAGTCGATGCATCTTTTAGAGCTTGGCAGATGTCAATGCTCCCCAGAACGTGGCCTGGCTCCGAACAAAATGTGGACTTTGCTCACTTTAGGAGCACAAATTAATGGGTGAAACCAGAATGAATGAGTTGAGCATTAACAGTATGGTCTCAAAATAAGTGACTTTACAGTTACACTCGCCTTCTCTATATTTTGCAAACATTAGTCCATGAATTTCAAGAAAACATGGAGAAGGCTTTTCTAAAATTGTTTATATGTTTCCCAGCAATTTAGTTCACCGTACTTCATGATCAACAAATTATTTTTGGAAAATAAATAAGCATTTTCCTACATAAAAAATTCAAAATAAACTCAGCAAACAGAAACAAGAAGATAATCACTTGTTGATTTCAAGCAGGACTAGATTTGCTTAGAATCTGCATACTCACTTGGGCATGATCCCAAGGTGGTTCGCGAGCCACTCGTGCCCCTCGATCATCTGCTGGATCATGGCAAAGTAGTGCGTGTTGGCTTCGTCGTTCATCACCCATCCGCCCAGGACGAACTCCAGCTTCTTGTTCGACACGTGACTGACGGACAGACACACACCCATGGAGGTCCGTTTCCGAGAGGGACGAGCCGGAACGTCGACCTTCCGCTCACCTGATGATCTGCTGCTTCTGTGCATCCGAGGCCTGGTTCCACCAGAGGGAGAAGAAGGAGACCTCGGCCCAGATCATGGTCATCTCCTTGTGCTCTTCCAGCTTGGCTGCCATGCTGTCCAAGATCCCTAGCGTCTGGGTTTGGAAATACTCCTCGAAGGTCTTGATCCACCCTGGGAAAAGACACAAAATATCCAGTTCACTGCTACTTTTAATATTGTCAGGTGGTTGAACAGAATTCACAGGTCTGTGACTTCAGCAGCTTTTTGGAAAAATTACTTAAAACCATAATATGACAAAACTAAAGATGGAGCTTGGTCAAACTTACTTCACTTACAGAGAAACCAAAAATTATTTCAATGCCCATTTGAATTTCCGATGACTGCATCCCGTTCCTAATAAATACAAGGAGTCCAAAAAAAAGTCACAGGTTCACAGCTAGTCTTCCCTTCTGCTAGATTTTTTATTATTAATCCTTGTTGTAGGGCTTAGGCTCATTCTTCCATGAACACTATGACATAACTTCCTCTTTCCTCCTTGATGCTTGGCATTCACATGTAAGGAAAGAATCTGCAGACAGAACCTCATGTTCTTCATGCAAAAAATTCATTGGAGGGATGAAAGAACACAAGGAGCCACAACAACTTCATAAAAGATCCTACCAATGAGTTTCACAAGTTACTAATGTTGGTGTAAAACGATGAATATTGAAATGCCTCAAATTCAACATGATCTAATTTTAAATGGGAAAAGACGGAATTGAATAAATAGCCCATAATTGATCCAGATATTTCACAGACGATTGAAGCTCACCGGGATCGTTGTGGGAGTGTGGGACGACAAACACCCGCAGAGTTTTCGTCTTCCACTGGCTGGCATTGTACTGGAGATCCCAACCTTGCTTCCAGACTCCTCCATCGGGATTGTCAAATGGGATCTGGCGGTACAAATCTAGAAGCTGCAACGGGAACCAAGGGAAGGTGAAGCCACATGGAATTTGGGAGCATTCACGTCACGATGCACTGAGAGAGGTCGACCTGAACGTCCACCGCAGACGGGTCGTCTCGGGCAAAGGAGCATTCTCCCTCTGCGATGTCGGCCGCGAAGGCCTCGGGCGATTCCTGGTTGCCCGTCCCGGAGGCCGTTCCCGTGTCCTTGTCCTGTCCCGGGAAGATGCTTCCGCTGTCTCCGATTTTCAGCAATTCGGGGATCTGGCTCTGGAGCGACCTCACGTCGGATTCGTACCGCTTCATTCTTTCGTCCACCCGATCCAGTTTCTTCATGAGATCAATAATCTCCTGAAGAAAGGAGTTCTCCCTTATTCGCATTCGTTCGAAGTCGAGGAAAAATTCATGAGAAACATTGCAGATGAAAATGGGAAGCCAATTTGGGTCTAAAGACACTCTGGCATGAAGTTCGGGTCTCGGCCGCGTTTCCCGACGTTCGCTCCGACCGTTCAAACGATGAAGAAAACCAGCAGCTGCAAAAACTGCACTTAGCAAAGCTTTGCTCTTCAAAATGAGATACTTTATCCAATATAGACAAAAAAGTACAACTGTCCAATCTCATTCTTGTCACTCTTAACCACACGAAATAATTTTATAATAACAAGACAGACACGTATTAGTCATCCCGAAAAAAATGCTGACTGGGTATCAACAGATGACCCTTAGCCTTTCAGCATGCATAAATTAATCGCAATGAAAAACACTTGAAGTACAGATCTGCCTTGTGGCATCACTCAGGGAATACACAACTCCCTTCAAACAGACATGAAAACAAAGTAAAGCCTGACATATGCGAAACTGACCAAGGTGAGTTTGAAGGTTCTAGGGGGAGTGTTTATACTGAAACCTTCCTTGTTTCCTTGCATTTCTTTCTGTGTTCTACACTTTTTTATATTTAGGCCATTCTCCAGTTGCCTTGGAAGGCTACCTTATTGCAATTAAGGACATATGACGTTCATGCAATGGTGGAGAAATGCTGATGTGGCCCTTGGCCTACTTGCAAGATATACATTGGCCTACACTCGTCACTGGGTCTACAAAGGCCATATAATCCCAGGTTCCCTCAAATGCCAATAAAATTCCCTTAAATCCCTATAAAGAATGGATATTCTTTATAGGCATTTGAGTGCATTCAACAAGGAAATCAATGCTGGTGATGCTGATGTATGCCAAAAATCTTAAGTGTACCCAAGAGGGCCTAATGCTTCCCGGCCTAGGCCATACAACACGGAACGTTACGACCATAATTAGGCCTAACATTACACCAACTCAAGGCAAAATCCATGGCCTACTTACGACGCACGTCGCATCCGGTGCGAATTAGGGCTCCTCTCATCCCAGGATGAGGCATTTCCGATTTTATTTTTTTCCTGTTATTTTTTCCCACCCGTTCCTTATAAAGAAGGAGGCATCTTTCCCTCCTCTCTTATCTGCCTTGATGAAAGCATAGGTAGAGAAGAGAGAGAGTTGATGCACGTCCGCGACACGCCGAGGCACGCACGAACCAGACGAACTTTCTTTTCCTGCGTCCTTCCCCCTTTCATCCGCTCACGGCCATTTCTCATCGTGTACTGCCTCGTGTACTGCCTCGTGTACTGGCTCGTGTACTGCTTCGTGTACTTTTTATTGTAAACCAGAGGAGCGTGACGCTCACACGCATGTTGTCCATAATACGACCCTTGTAACTTCTCAGAGTGACAAGTTCCGACTTGTTCTGTTAAATTTCGCGAATTCTTCCCCAGCTGAGATTCCATTATGACAATATTCCACACATTTAAATGATACTGAAAATTGAGAGGATCTCAGGCCCAAAATTTATAAATGTGATTTAATCAAAATCTGAATTAAATCGATCGCCAACTCCTTTTTCGCGATATCAAACACATAAGCTCATCGTAATGCAAAACCTGCCTGATACCTGGCTGATACCTGGCTGATACCTGGCTGATACCTGGCTGATACCTGGCTGATGCCGAAAAGATTTTTGAAGCATAAAAATATGGTATTTTTAAAGATACGTAACAGTACTGGTTTCAAATGAAAACCATTCTTCGAGATTGAATGACATGAACCTTAATCAAATGCTTCCTTCTTTCCAAATTTTTCAGCTTTCTTGAAGTTTCTCCAACGCTTCTAATTACTGAATGACTGAATTATGAAATGAGAATGACCAATTATGCCAATTACGAAAGATGAAGTGTCAATTACTACTCTTTCTGAACGGGGATTTAATTGTTTAATTGTTTAATTGACAATGGTATGATGCGTGAAACGGTAAACCCTGGCGAATAAATAATTAGGATGTCAATCGCTAAAGCTATGCTTCGAAAAAAAAACCTCTCCTGAATTGAATTATTTGAAAATTGAATTTATTAGTTGCTATTAGTTTATTAGTTGTTATTAGTAATTTCAAGCTAGTTGTGGATGGTTAGTGCTTCCTGAAGTATTTGGCAACACTGTAAAATATACTCGCGCGAAATATTTTTTTTTCCCAACTTTTCTCTCATTGGTGTTTAAAATGAATTGTTTAAATATTGAATTACATTGAATTCCCAATTTTTAAATGAAAGTGCTTGAAAAAATAAACGTTGAGCTTTTTCCGATTTTAATTAGCTTCCTGGTCGGAGAGTACGAAAAAGGAATATGAATGGTATATGAATGGTATATGAAGGGTATATGAATGGTATATGAAGGGTATATGAATGGTATATGAAGGGTATATGAAGGGTTGGAACCGGATGGGTGTCAATTACGGTTCAGTTTTGCCTTCAATTTTGCCATTTTCATTCATCACTTCATCTTGACCTTGATCTTGGTCGAATCAGTTCGCAAACTTCCTGCAAAATTTGCTTTCCGACCGGCAGAGTTTTTCTGCATGCTAAAAAAAAAGCACGTGTTGGACCAGATTTTTTGCCTTTTTTGTTGGTTTCCCAGTCCATCTCGAGTCCATCTTGCGGTTTTCTGAACCTGGAAGGAAAGGCGCCGTATGAAGCAAGCGCGATTAATTTTGAAATTAATGACGGAAGCAATCAATTTCTCTTGTTCCGCTGAAAAGATAATCCGACATTCCATCATTTTCTTCGTGGTTCAGATGACAGCTGATTAATTAGCAAATTAGAGAGAGAGAACCCCGCATCCCTTGCTAACGATTATTCGCTAACGATTATTCGCTAACGATTATTTGCTAACGATTACGTTTGACATCACGGACGCGCAAGAAAGGAGACGGTAACCTCATTTAAAAGATGAATTTTCCGGAAAGGTGCGGCCGCCAGGAAGGCCGTTTGCGGATCCGCAACAGTTGCCAGTCTCTTCCAGGAAGTACTTCCAGGAAGCTCTTCCAGGAAGATCCCCTTCGGCTGAAAGGAGGCACCGGAGCGAAAGGAAGTTAGGAAATTCGTCTGATGGGATGAAAATTCCCAGGAAATTCGTCTAATGGGATGAAAATTCCTCAGCGAATGAAAGAAACGTGAGTTGCTTAGTAAATATGCAAAAGATAAATATGGTTTTCTCGTTTCATCAAATTTTTTCTATTGCCTCTCTCGCGCATTTTTAGCCGCTTTTTACGCCAGGCTTAATTTTTAGCATATTACCACGTACCGGATCTCAAAATCCCTTGGCTATTTTTCTAAGTATTGAGATCCTCCAGTTCGGCCAAGGCTTCCCGAATTCGATCGACGCAAAAAAAAATAAAGTTTTCGCGAAGTTTGATCCAGGTTGGAGAAAATCTGAAACTTTTCCGGTTAAAAATGAGGGAGTATTTGGATTACCTCCAGGAAAGTACCAAGAAAGTACCAGAAAGTACCACAACCATGAAAGTCAAATTTCGGAAGGAATGCAAGGCGAACTCCTTTACCTGAAAAACCTTTTTTTTCTGGGGTTACTCCGATGCCCTTGCAAAAGCAAAGGTCAGAATCGGGATTCCCAGATCGGGAATCGAAAAAATCGGTTAGCACGGAGAAGGTCAAAAGGACCTCGATTTTTTGCGAGAGGACCGCCGTAATGATCGTAATGACCTTAATCCGGGAATGCCGGAATTTTGGCAGTCCGTCCTGAGGATTCGGTAGGATTAATGAAAATTCTTCACAGCCAACATGAGCTGTAAAGGGTTCATCGGGACAGTTCGGAAGTGACTGAAGGAGATTTTCCCCTAAGTGTGGGGAGGTTGGCACGTTGGGCCCATGGGAAAGGGCACGTTCAAGGACAGGAAAGGTCAAAATTATTCACATTGTAATCGTCGAAATCGGCAGCAAAATCGCCGTGACGGCAGGCGAAGGACGGCGTCGTGAAAACGAAGGTCCGTTGTCACAGGGACCTCCCTTTCACCCGCTTGTTACAACCACGTGTTTCATCACCGCCTCGCTTCATCCAGATCCGCCGCGAGAATGGATGTTCTTGCGTCTCCCGCTCTTCGTTCTTCCTCTCGTTGCCGGCAAGACCGCACGCACCCTCCAATCCGCTTTCTCCGCTCATCCCCCCCGAGGCTGCACTCGCCCGCGTGATTGAGACAGCCCACCGGGAAGGTGACTAATGGAAATCGCATGTCGTTAACCGGCCACTTGAGTCCTGTTCATGAAAGGACTGAGAACATTGCGTAAGAATTTTGCTTCCCCTCGCGAAAATGTCCTATAGGAATTCTATAGGATTCATTTATAAGAATTCTATAGGATTTCTATATAAGAATTCTATAGGAATCCTTTAGGAATCCCATGAAGCGTTTCGTAAGGTTTCTAATCCCTGAATCATGCTCAGATTTGTCGCTTTCGAGAGAAACTCAAGTTTCATCATCAGGTTCGCTCGACCATGCTAATTGCCAATCACTAATTGCCAATTGCCATTTACTATTTTCAAATCGCTGAGGTGTTTCGAGAAGCTGGGGACTCGAAAATCTCATTCATCTCACTCAAGTACTTAGAAAAGAATATTTCATGACTCTTGTCTTCGACTCTCATGCCGAAATTCACAAAATTAAAGAAGGCATTAAAAAAAAAGGAGCGAACCAGCGATAAATCACAGAGGTAATTAAAATAAAACACCTTTCCGGCGAAAACGACGCAATAATTTTTTTTTTCCTTCGGCTTCCTGGTCGGGAGAAGACGGAAACGCGTGTGAAGGGCGTGGACGGGGCGTGCAACGCGCTCACGCCCCGGGGCCACGACTCAGTGTCGAATCCTCCAGTCGATTTTCCCATTGCTTCTCATTACTCTCATTACTCTCATTACTCTCATTACTCTCATTACTCTCATTACTCTCATTACCCTCATTACTCTCTGATTAATCTCAAACTTTAAAGGAGGTCGCAAATTAATTTATGCAACAAA